AGAATTGATAGTAGAATGGAATAGACGTACCCTTCACCGCATTTGCAGGACGCAATACCGCAGTTGGCTTGGTCAATGGGGGCTGAGGTGACCTGACATCATCCAGGGCTCGTTAGGACGGCATCTATAGAGAATGGAGAAGGACTTGCAGTGAACATTGTACGCTTAGTAGCTTGTGAAAGGCGGTGGAGATTGAGAGTGGTTATTGATGATATATCCTTGGCATACCCCGGTCCTTATATTCCTTCGGACTCTATTTGGAGATATTTACCTCTAGTGATGCTCCAAGAAATCACTCATCATCCAGAAATTCACGCATTACTAAGGTCATTGTTCAAGAAATTGCTCATTGCTCATTGATGCCAAGCTCAGTCATCCGCGAACCATCCAGAAATTTGCGCAAACTTAATTGTCACAAAGAATCGGAAGCGATCACTCAGACTCGAGCTCGAGCCAGACAGAATGAAACACGCTATCGTATTCCAGTAGTTCCAAGTCGAGATACGTATCAGTGGACGAGTCGGTTCGTGTAAACATGAGCAATGTCCGCGATGATCGTAGGTGCCGAGCCGCAGTGACTACTCTATACCCTAGAGAGGCTCGAAGTGAGTACTGTTCGTCCGGCAACCGATCGCCTCAGGAGGAGCATAAAAGCAAAAACACCTTGCAAAAAGAAAAAGAAGCCTGTGATTTAACTGCTATAACCCCTGGCGGGACTCGAACCCGCAACCTCCAGATGAACTATGGTAGAAGTCTGACGTCATAACCATTAGACAACAGGGGCATGTGTGTGAGAGACTAATGGATGTCTACAGCCCGCTCGTTGCTTTCTCATCCCCTGTGGTGCGGCGCGTACGGCACTTTTTGTCTTAACACGATCACCATGAGCGGCCCTCAGGAGCCAGTGCCGTCGCCTTCACTGACGACGAACACCTTCTCGTCGTCGCCAGACTCAGCTCTAATTTCTACTGAGCCTATCCCTACAACGTCTGTCTGCCGCCGCCGCTCTACTAGTAGCGATGCCAGTGACCTCACCGCCCGTCTCCGTCATTCCCCCGTCCTCGCTCGGTCCTTCGACCCCGAGGCTCGCGAGCGCCAACGCACAATGGACGTGGACATGGCCATGCAACTTTCTCGTGCCCGTAGAGAAACAGTCACAGGCTCTCCGGAAATATCACCCCTTCCCGACCGTGCTCAGCGTCGTGAAGAGGTGGAATCCGCTGTCCATTTCACTGACACTGCTGTCCAATCCGATCCTGAAGATGAAGCTGCTGGAATCAGTCCCAGTTCTTCACGTCTTGATCTCAAGTTGCATCTCAACACAATGCACGATGCTTCTCTATTAGCACATGCACCACCCTTGAATCACGACACGAACACCGAGTCACTTTATGGTCTTCCTACCTACCAAGCTAATATATCCCGCTCCGAGTTCGACTTTACTTTGATGGAAGAGTTTGCTGCTGTTGAGAAGGCAAACTTTGGTATCGGCACTTCACCAACCACGAAGTTCACTTTAGATACAATCCCAAGGCGATCTCAACCTATAGAGCGAGATCCAAACGAACCAGGCCCTTCCAATCCTTCTGACCAGTTCTTCCCACAAGTTCAATCGCCCGAAACCGATGGGGAAGATCAATCAAGACCCAGCCCAGCCCCTGGGCGACAGCGTAAACTCAGTCACTCCCATCCGCATCCGCGTACTCAACGTAAAGGCATCGGAGGCAAAATGGCATTGTTTGAGAACCCTCATGATCCGTTTTCTGGTGGAACATCGTCCATAGGTGGTCATAATAGCCTTTCCCTCGCATCCCGTCTTTCAGGAGGCTTCGGTAGACACACCACGTCGAGCAACGAAGCAGCTGCACAGCCACCGATGCACTCTGGCATACTCAATACGGGTCATGATCGACCTTACCGATTCTCTTTCTATTCTAATGCTCTTGCTGCTACTATTCACGCGCGCAGTCTTAGCGAGCTTCCGGCCGATGGTCAATCTTTTGAGCAATTGTTTGTTGGAATACATCCAGACGGTAGCAGAGAGCATGAACATGCGCCTCCTCCATTCCGTGAGGGATACTTCAACGGGGCGCACGGCAGTAGTGGCAACCGCAAAGCTGCTTCAGACCAAAAGTCGGCGATGAGGCCAGGTCCCGTGGGGAATAATGGAACTACGGGTGATTCAGATGACCGGACATGGTGGTTGGATGTTTTGTCGCCCACAGACGAAGAAATGAAAATGCTGAGTAAGGTGGGTCTCTTATCGGATGTCTTTCTTTTTTTCAAGTTCTGATAAGTTTGCTTTAGGTATTTGCTATTCATCCCCTGACGACAGAAGACATTCAAATGGAGGAAACGCGTGAAAAAATCGAACTCTTCCGTAACTATTATCTCGTGTGTTTCCGCAGCTTCGACCAAGACCAATATAGCCCTACATATCTCGAACCTTTGAACATGTACATTATCGTATTCCGTGAGGGTATCCTTTCTGTGCGTAATCTTACCGACCGTTCTCCAACATATTCATCAATTCCGTCTAGTTCCATTTTAGACCAACGCCCCATCCACAAAACGTCCGAAGACGCATTAAACAATTGAAAGACTACATCGCTGTTACATCTGACTGGATTTCTTATGCATTAATTGATGACATCACCGACGCTTTCGGTCCACTTATTCAGAATATCGAGTACGAAGTCGACTCCATTGATGAGCTCGTGCTCATCCTCAAGGAAGCCGAGCAAAGCGACATGTTGAGGAGGATTGGCACGTGTCGCAAGAAGGTCATGGGTTTGTTGCGGTTGATGGGCAATAAGGCCGACGTTGTGAAAGGGCTGGCAAAGAGATGCAACGAGAATTGGAGGGTGGCTCCCACGTCCGACATTGTAAGTCGTTAGAATAAACCTCACGAATTCTGTCTCTCATTTTCTACACAATGCAGGGTCTCTACCTTTCTGATATCCAAGTAAGTCCGACTTTGAAGAACGTTCGAACAATGCTCACTATATGCACGCAGGACCATCTGATCACAATGACTCAGAATTTGAATCATTATGAAAAAATTCTATCGCGAGATGGCCCGGTTTTTCGAAAACGCCTATATAGCGACCGCCTCTCCCTCGCTGCCAACTTCGCCAATGCCCGCGAAATCACGATGTGTTTCCTCAAGAATACTGCTCACCAAGTAGGAAATTATCTCCTGACCCTTGACTATGGCACTATTGGAAATATCGTCTTTCGCGCGGCAGTCCGTTCCCTCACTCCTGGTTACCAGCCTCAGCTACTCGACGCGGGTACATGGCAACAGATTACTTTCGACGTTGCTACGACCGCCTATATGAAGGAAGCTTTCCCTCAACTTCCTGCCTCACCTAGTGCTGAAGTTACGAATGCTCTTGACCTCCGGTTGCCGACTCAACTACCGAGCCTCACTGACTTCAGATGGGGAGTCAAATACACGCTTGCACATATGGACGCGTCTGCTCTTCTTTCGCTTGGACTGAGTGCTGCTGTATCCTATTTTGAACTGGATGCGACTATCAACACCGCGAACGCGATGGCGCTTATCGATATCGGTATGCACATCGTCTTCCGGTCTCATGCCAGTGTCCCGCCCTTTCACAGATTCGGAGATGTTCTCAAATCACTTGACACTGTCTTGCCATCTCTTGAGCTGCCTTCATTGGTTTCTGGATTGCCCCACCCGCCCCTACTTCCGTTCAAATCAGCTGAAGAAGATTCTTTGCCTGGGCGCCCGGTCCGCTTCACTCGCCCACCTCAAACGGAAGAAAAACCTATGGTTGTCACGGTCTACTTTTCTGAAGTCCCTGAGCCGACATCGGAAGCTAGGTCCAGTCATCGTGGTCAACGAGATGCAGATCGTCAAACTGAAGGACTTAGTGGATACGTCATATTCGAAGACCCGGTTACCAACAATGTCATCCGCGACTCCATGCACGTTGTAATTGCGATTCTCGCCACTGGCGGTGTCGTGATCTCAACAATGAAGATGATTGACGGGTTCCGGAAAGCAGAAGACGCTCAACAGGACGTGATCAAAATACACGCTTTGAAAAGTCTGGCTTATCTTTCCTGGGAACGCCGTGCGGCATTATCGGAAACTTTTTCTGCCATTCAGCTTTCTAGGCTCATTCAGCTCCCGCCTGATCATAAGCTTGCGGTTGCACCAGACATTCCCGAAGCACAAATCGTGGCACACGTTATCAGACTCGTGCGTTCTTTGTCGCATGACCGACGCAAAGACTTTGGTTATGTATTAGAAATTGCGTCTCTGCCTCTGCCTCTTCCTCCCTCTTCTCCGCCTAGTCCCGTCGATACTGTTATACAGGCTGCACCGTCTCCTTCTATTCCTTCTTTCTCTACCGATGCCACTTCTGCTGCTACAACGCTCGCTTCACCGCCATCACGACCATCGTCATCAGCGCCACCGCTACCACCAACGTCACCACCATCAGCAGCACAGTTACCACCAATACCTCCACCATCGGCAGCACCGCTACCAACGCCACCACCGGCACCACCAGCACCACCAATACCTCCACCGTCAGTATCACCGCTACCAACGCCACCAGCACCACCAGCACCAGCACCAGCACCAGCACCAGCACCAGCA